AGGAAAAAGAAAAAAAAAAACGTCTGACAGAAAAAGAAAATCAGTTTTAGGAACGAGAGAAAGAAACTCTGAAGTAACTGGAGTTACGTTCTGATCTCACTGTTTAAGTATCCTTTAACACAAAACACTGACCGCTCATCTGAAGAAGAGAGCAGGCTCCGACCTTCAACAACACGACGACACAGTCGAGGTGACAGCGACATTCAGAGGCGTCTGTTGTTGTCAAAATAAAAGCACGACATTCAGCATGGTTTTGCTCCTGACTGTCAGTCTGTTGGACTGGTTTTATGCAAAGCAGGAAAGTGTCCGCACTACGAGAACAGATCCATCTTTCTGTTCAGTTGGGTTTTCCAGCTCTCAGCAGCTTTATTAAAACACAACACGGTGTTTTATTTTAATTAAGGATTCATTCAGAAAAACAACCTGAAATAAACTGTAAACAATAATAATGCAATAAGCTACAACTTTGGCTTTGAAAACTAAATTATTCCTAAAACAAAAAGGAACAAGAAGTAATAGATTACTACCAGAGATCTGTGGGAAACATCTGGATCATTCCTACCTCTTATTTATAAAACCTGGTGAAAGCTACAGTTCCCATTAAATGTTCATTTAGAAGGAAAACAATTAATTAATCAGTCTGTCAACAAAACAGTTAAAGTATCTCAACACTATCTTACTGCTGTTGTTGTTTACATTTCCCCAGACACAAATAAACACAACGCACTACAGAATTATCACTGTGCGCGTGTATATGTGTACAGGTATGTGCATAAATTACTGTATTCTTTCATCATTTCATCCTAAATGTAAATATTTGTATATTTGTTGTAAGTGCTCGTAGCGTGAGGCGACATCATGAAACCCTGTTCTGTAAAATAAGAAATAAAATGACATTTTATAGACCAAATAAATAATCGATTACTCAAAAACGTAAAGGGATTTATAGATGATTAAAATAATTAACCCCTTATTCAATCTATAAAGTCAATACCTATAAATATAAAGTGGGTGGAGGTGATACATGTGAATATTATTTTATGTGAGATTTCAACATTTGTGTAAGATGAGTTTGACATCGGCATGACAACCGTGAGCCGATCAATGTGAAACAGTAACTGGAGATCACTGTGGCTCGTTACAGAGAACCTACATGTTTAATTCATGGCTGCCCTTTGACCTTCCAGGTAACAGGACACCTGAACCGAACCGACTCCGTCTGAATGAATCAGCAACAACGGTGTCGAGTGTTTTGGTGCGACTGTCGTTCATCGAGTCAGTAAAGAGAGGAGAGCAGAAAGTGAAGATTCACAGAAGAGCTGCAACAATAAATCGATTCTATTCTATTTAATCTCATTTGTATGTCGCCAACAGAAGTTATCTGAGCAGGTCGGACCGAACTGACCCAACAGTTCCACTATGAGCGAGGAAAAACTGCCTCTTCATCATCAACTAAATAAAATAAAACAGGTTCATTCAGGTTTGTAAGAAAAACAAGTTAGTTTAAGCTTCTTATTTGTGTAAACTGAAGATTTTAGACTCATAATGTCAGAATGTCACCTTGGCCCTTAGTCAGATTTATTATTTTGTTTATTGATCTTTCCTTGCAGAGTCTTTAATCTTTATTCTTCATCATTTAACCTCATTGAATCACGTCTGAGTTTTATGTTTATACTTTTATCGAGAGGAATGTCTTTCACTACCAACCAAACCTAAAGAGAAGTAACTTTGAACCATAACTGTTAATTATTATAACCCTAACTCAGCCCTGAAATATCCCAGCTGACAGAAACACTTCTTTTAAACTCCCCCACACACTGTAGTGGCTTTACAACAACCTCACACTGTTTATTCACACTTGCAGATGAAGTCAGGATCTTCTCTTTAGGATGCAAACAGTATGTAAATGACGACTCCCTCCACTAAAAGGAGAACCTCCCCTGACTCATCAGTTTGGGAGAAACCAACCGCCTCTGCCAGCACCGAGGGTTCATTTGCATACAGCTTTGTTTTCAGCCGTTGGTTCGCCCCGAGGGGGAGCAGGTGGTAGAGCTGGAAACTTACAGACCTACAGAGTTCAGATTCTCAGGAAGAAGAAAGAAAGAAAGAAAGTCAGCAGAAGGTAAAAGTGATTTGAAGCGGATGCAGCAGAGGTCTTCCTGACTTTCAGCCTCTAGTGTGAACGTAAAAGTGTCTTTAATGAGACCCAATTTGTTAATCTTATGAGGGAGCTGAAAGACTATTTTCATATTCTATTAATAAAACACTTTTTTAAAAGTCTTTTAGTCTGTTGGGTTGTACAAAACGAGACATTTGAATCCAACAATTTGGACATTTTTCACTTTTTTTTTGTCTCTACAGTACAAAAGAAGATAATCTTCATTAGCTGCAGTTTTTATGAGTTTTCTTTTGTGTCTATACCGACAGTAAATCACATAAAGAGCGTTAGTCCGTCTATTAACACTGTTTTGACCTAAAAGCTGGACTGGAAGAGAAAGACTGAAACTGTCCACACTTAGAGTCCATAAATGCTGAATACAGATGTAGGTAAAAGTTAATTTATGGATTAAAAGTTGCTCAGTGGCTCACTCTGCTGCTGCGTGTCGCTTTGAGAGAAACTCAAAAAAGGCTTTTTTAAAATTCGATCTGAGCAGCCAGAGTCCGATTTCAAACCACCTCCAAATGTGGCTTAGATCCTTTTTACAGAAATCACTTTTCATGTGGCTGTTCTGCTTTCAGACTGTCTGAAATCAATCTGAATATAATCTGAATACAGCAAAGCAGTCTGAACAAGCCCTAACTTTACAGCTGGGTGCTGTTTTCACATTTTAAGCACAAACACCAAAAGTTAAAGTGCTTCAGACGCTTAAATGTGAATATTTTGCTGGTTGTTCTGATGTTTGGAGGGTAGTAACTGAATGTTCTGCGGTTTTACAATCAATAAACCAAACAACTGATTGAGAAAGTAAGAGAATTTGGTGCTCTAGTGTGGTGAGTAAGTATGTTCGTTGATCAGTTTATTGACACACGTTTGGTGCTAACTTTGCTAAATAAAATGAAAAAAAAAAAAAGGTGGATTTTAGTGTTTAGTGAGTCACAAAGAGTCCTAAACAAAAGCTCTTTCAAAGCTCAAGGAAACAGAAAAAATCTAATCTATAAAAGCAAGAGTGAGTGTGTGTGAGAGAGTGTGTGTGTGTGTGTGTGTGTGGTCAGGAGTGACACTATAAAGTATATGAAGTGTGTAGTACAATGAGAATAAACTGGCCCCGGCTGCTGCTGATTCATACCGTATGTGCTGCCGTCCACAGACTGTTCATTGTTGGAGACAAACACAAACACAATTCCTCTGCCAGCTCTTCTCCTGCACGTCTGCCTCGGATAATATAATGTGAATAACGTGCTCTTCTCTCTGCAGCGAGCTACAGATAATGAATGGAGGCTCTTATATTAACTGCAGGCTGCTTTTTCCAGAGTCCTCCACGTTTTGGGGGACGGACACTGAGCGATTCAGCTCGAACACTGCGCCTACTGTTTACCTTTCGCGCTGCGTCTCCCTGGTAACCGCCGGCCAACCGTACACCGACTCCCTGCACTAAATGAGCCGGCTTCTGCCCCGGGACAAAGTGTGAGCTGAGGAGTCTGCACTTCAAAAGGCGGCGGGATTACTTGTTTTAATTAGACCCGAAACAATTAGTTGATTAGTTGATTAGACGACTGATTGCGGAAAATTAATCTGCAGCTATTTTTTAAACCAGAGTTTTGAGCTGCTGCTTTTTTTTGCTGTACACTGAATATCTGTGATTTAATTTCACTTTTATTTAAATTGACTTAAAGTTAACCCAATGAGAAAATATATTAGTATGATTGTTCCACATTATCCACTGTTAATCTGTTTTTTATCAGGGTTTAATTTAGTTACAGGCAGCAAATGTGGTCTCATAACTGATCTTGAATTTAAATATCTTACATTTGTGTTGCTTATAAATCAACAACAACGCTTTTTTTAAACACAAATACCGACTTAAAGTAACATTAAGTGAACTTATTTATCACTTTTCAACTGTAGTTACAAAGTTAGTTACTCAGGAGCCATAAAATCCTAAATGAATCTTAAATAAATGAGTGTTAGTGCCGGCACAACAAACATACAGCAGCCAGCAGGAACACATAACAAAACGTGGGAGATCTTCCAGTAAAGACACACAGAAAGACACTTGATTAAAACTTTACTTACACTAATCTGACTGAGGTTTAGACATTAAATTTAACTAATAGTTTATCAGCTGTTAATTCTGTTTAACTACAGGTATCTGGTGAATTATTGACAGACTCGTCCTTTATGTGCGGTGGTTTTCCATTACTCAATCTTTGGTCCAGTTCTGGTCACAAACAGGGAGAGAGATTCAGCTGTGATAAACAGGTATACACACAGGACGTTATCTATTAATGGGCTGTTATTTTCTGGGTTAATCGTCTATAAAATATTAGAAATATAGTGAAGCACAGAGCGTATAGTATTTAGACAGCTTGTTTTAGTTGATTAATAGTCCAAAAAACAAAGATATTCAGCTAAATCTCATAGATGACGAATAAAAGCGTCACTTCTTTACATTTAGGGTAGTTTTGTTTAAGAAAATACTAAAAAAAAGACTAAATATTTTTATAAAAAGGGTAAAAAAAACTCTAATTTTACTTTATAGTGATGTAAAAAAGAAATAAAGAAGCGAATCCTCACATTTAAGGAATGTTTTGCATTCAACACTTAATTTTCTGTTATATATTTGGCACATTTTCTTACGGACGTGACTTTAAAATACACTCCAGCGTTAAATGAAAGCCTTCAGCTGTCTGGACCGAACACTGAAACACTCTCAACAGCTGTGGTGACACATCGTTTCTCTAACTCCACCTCCGATTGTTCTGCTGTGTTTCTACGTTCACTCCCTTTCGAGCCGCTCAGCCAACTGCAGTGTGAAGATCATGTTACAGGCCTGAGAACGTGCAGCAACAGATGGGAGATCACAAAGGAAGAGGAGGAGAATGAGCAGACCACGAGGCTCAATTATAACCAAAAAGAAACAGAAAACAAGATGCTTTTTGGGGATGGCACCACTCTGCGGTTGTCCTGTCCATGTAAGAGAGAGCAGACTTTAAAAACAGACTTTTATAAACCTTAAAAACCTTTTTCACTATTTATATTTTTCCACTTTAGTAGTTTTTTTAGTTTAGTTTAATTTCCTGCTCATATTTTGGACTCCATATGTGTATATACTTTAATTTATAGTGTTTACATCTTCTAATATTAATAAAATGAGTCATATTTTACTGTGATATCTTTTGTTTTCTGTTTATTTGCTGCTGTGTCAAAATTAATTTCTCCTCAGTGGGATAAATAAAGGAATTATCTTTTCTTTAAAGTACAAAAACACTGGTGAGAGACGTTAACTGACCTCCTGCATGCCTCTTTTCGCCCGCTCCAGAGCGTCTTCGTAGCCCTTCTGCCTCAGCTCGCTCAGGCTCTCGTAGTACTCCTCCATGTCGTCCCTCTCGGAGAAAAGCACCTGCGAGAGGATCTTCCAGCCGCAGGTGTCCAGGGCGTGACCCAGGTACACCTTCAGCTGGAAGCACAGGGCGTCCGTCTCCCACTGCGACAGCCCGGGGGCGCCGAAGAGCACCGTCCACACCCCGGACTGATCCTCGGGGAAGGAGGGCAAACACGGCTCCAGGTCCGAGTTGATGGCGCACAGCTGGAGGTGGGCCGCCCTCAGGTCCTGGAAGGATAGCAGCCCGGCCCAGCTGAAGTCCTCGCGGCCGCCGCCGTCGCCCTCAGCCAGGTGTGCATCGTCCGGAGACAGCGGGACGTCCACGGGGTCCAGGATCTCCATATCTGTTAGGAGGGGGGGAGAAAATACTGAAAAAACCGTCGTATCGCGGTATTTTATTTAAACACACAACCGTGAGTTCAAATCCCCACTGCTCTGGTTGTCCACGTGTGGTTGTGTGTCGTTTCTACCCTCAAAGTTTTACTAAAAGTAGGAGTTTTTTTTAATTAAATCACAATATATTCTGTATTCTGACACAAACAATCACTTTTTGCACGTTATTAAACTGTAAATGTGATCTTTTATATATATATTTTGTTCTTAATAGATGTAAAATGTAAAAAATGTATTTCTGATTACAGCTTATTGCAATATATCACAATATACTGAATTATAACCCTTATATCGTGATAATTACCATATATCACCAGATTATTGCCGATACACAGCCTTAATATTTAATATATAAACACATCCCTGGACCTTAATGTGTGTGTCTTTGAACTACACACTCTTAAAACCTTAATTAATTAGTTATTGGGGTTTTTTTTTTTCCCCTTTTCTAACTTTACCGGCTTCATCTTTCCTCGTCGTGACGGGACTTTTTGTGCGTGTTTGTGCCACGGAGGCACCGGGGCCAGGAAGCACATCGGCGGGGTGGCCGTCCGGAAACGTGGCCCGCTTCTGCACGGTTCTGTTGTGGCAGGTTATGGCGAACTTTCCCTCGACGTCGTTCCAGGCCACGATGAAGTCGAATTTGTGCCTCTCTTTCTCCTCAAACACTCTGGGTCGGACGGACACCCACCCGGACTCCAAGTTATCCTCCATCGTGAATGACATCTCATCCAGCCCAAGTAAAAAAAAACAACAACAACAACCCAAAAAAAAAAATTAAAAAAAATCAATTAACGTTCTAAAAATATACGGGCTAACGGCTGCTGCTAACTGGAGGGTACGGCTTAACGGTCGCATGCGAAGCTCAGATTAAGAGAAAAAAAAAACACAAAAAAAAAAAAGTCGAGCTTCTTTAAGGCAGCTGACAGCCCGAGGTTAAAGGAGGCGTGAAACCAACAGCTCCCCCCACCTCTCTCTCACACCCCACCCACCAACCACCAGCTTTGTTTACGGCTGCCGCTCGGCGTGCGAGCTTCCGGGAAAACACGCAGCTAAAACCGTGCGTCGACCCTCCACGACGGTCGCGACTTCGGGGTCCCGGCATCGAAAAGCGACTTTCTCAGGCGGCCGGCGCGTCTCGGAACCTGGCGCTGGCGAGCGGCCGGGAAAGCGACACTCCGGCTATTATAACAGTCGCGGCGCAATACACGTCGGATTTCATGCAACCCGTGCCCCCCCCTCCCCTCCTACAGTTCTAAGATGCTCGCGTGTCGCCTCTTTGCCTGTCCCGTCTCCGCGGACAAAAAATTCCGCCTCGCCTCGTCTCGTTCGTTCGTTCCGCTCGCGCGGGCTGCTCCCGGCTCTCTCGGCGTCCACGTGTGACGCTTCTGTTCTACAAGCACGGAGGCTTGCGTGCGCATTGTTGAAATCCGGGGAAGGGCGATTTAAGTGGTGCACCCCTTCCCCCCGCCGAAGCTGCGTTTCAGGAGCCCGTGAGGAGAATCGTAAAAAAATGAAACTTCTTATCCTTAAGTAATCGTGTTTATAAGCTAAAATAATATTTGGTTTTTGTTTTTAAGGAAAGATTTTTTTTTTTAAATAAAAAGTTGCCCCCAAAAGGCATTGTTTGTATTTATGCCTTTTCAATTCAATTCAAAGGGGTTTCTGTTAAGCACGGAAAACAGAATGTTTTACGTTGCCAAAAAACAGGAGAGATAAGAATTGAAATTCAAATTTGGCCCAGCAGCACAGGGGGTAGTGCGCGGCAAGAGTTAGAGAAAGCATAGAATATAACGAATTAAAAAATATACAGGCCACTAAAAATAATGTACTGCACAACAACCTCCCCAACGCTGTTCCAGCCAATAGAAGAGAACTCCACGATTATTTATTTGGGATTATCCACCGAATACCAAGAGACTCATTTGTTACATTTATATTCTATGCGTGTACAAGTTACATACTTCACTTTGCTTTAAATTAAGTGTTACAGTTGAGTCAATATTTTATTTAATTTTCAGTTTCAGTTTACCTTTTATTTAGTTTATATATATATATATTATTTCCATTCACAGACACAATAAATAAATTGTGGTATTGATGAAGAAAAATTCACATTTTTACAGACTTTTTTAACCAAAAGGACATGTGCAACAAAAACAACACCAGCAGATGTAAAAATCAACCACAAAGCGACGCAGTATTTAATTTATAGGTATAAATATATAATACACACTATTTTTTAGATTACAGCCTTATATGTGTTATGTAAAATGTTACTGTTAATGACGCATTGTGTGTTCAAATGCAGTTGCGCCTGACATTCTTTTATAAGATCTGTAAAAAGATGCCCATACAAAAAAAAATGTCTTCATCCCTGTACCCAGTTATCTCCATAAAAACTACTGCTCCCTGCAGCAGATATTAGGACCAAGAAGTTAAAGACAGGAGAGTCATAACAACCACCCCTTCTAACAATTAAACAGCTAACTGTTCATTTTATATATCATATTATGGGATATAATAGCTTTATACTTTTATCTTTTATTTTATTTTTTTAAATTCTATTCTTAAGGTTAGGGGTTTTTAATTTTAGTTTAATGTAGGTTTTGTATTTTGTATGCTACTGGATACTTGAATTTCCCTCAGGATAAATATAAGTATCTATCTGTCTATCTAATCTATCTATCTACTGTCTAGTCTATCTATTATCTATCTATCTATCTAGGTCTGTTTAGTCTATCTATCTATCTATCTATCTATCTATCTATCTATCTAACTCTACCTGTCCTATCCTATCCTATCTATCTATCTAGTTCTATCCTACCTGTCTATCCTATTATTTTCTTTTAATATCTACTCTAATCTATCTATCTGTCTGTCTGTTTATCTATCTGATCTATCCTGTTATCTTTAAATAGACAAAAAGCGTAGGCACACATTTCTTTCCCCATGCGGCCTGAAGGCACCAAAACAACAGTCCCACCTTTAAAACGCCCAAAAAGAGTTTATTTACTAAACAGAGTTTATTAAAACAACAACAAGCAAACCAACAAACACAGATGAACTCCTCCTACCACTACTAATCAGGTTTACTGTCGTTTCTCCTCATATTCGTCTCTTTCCTTTTCTTTTCTTTTCCGTTTTTTTTTTTCTTCGCTTTCTCCGATGTCGCTTCCTTTTCCCACTCCGCGGACGTGCAACGAAGGAGGGTCATAAAACATCTGCACGTGGGCAAATCCATGAACGCCACACCCGCGCAGAGAACGTGCCGACAAGCTGGGAACCCGTAGGCGGCCCCCGACGGGACAGAAAATACATTACTTTAAAAAGCAGGAACGTAGACATAACTTTCAAACTGCGGCAAAAAGATGGATTATTTATTAATAATACTATCGTAACTTATTTTATAATAAGTGCTCTACTGTTTTAACATAATAACTACAATAATAATAATTGGCTGTTAAGATGAGTAGGTTTTTTTTATAATAACTTAAGGAGGGAGTATTATCTTTAAAATAATACTAAATTAATTTAGGTGAAATTTAATCCACGAAAAAATGTTGCTAACATAAAAACTTTATGTAAACTTATGTAAAATAAATATAAAACCGAATTCAGCACTCCTACGACCACCAACCGCTTGAAAAGATCGTATTTGGTAGATGTACGAGTCTCCAAAGAGAATTATTATTATTATTATCTTTATTTATTTAAGAAGGTTGCAAAAACTAAGTTTTTAAAGCTTTTAAAATGAACTGAGCAAC